AATAAATAAATAAATAAATAAATAAATAAATAAATAAATAAATAAATAAACAAACAAACTAAAAAAAAGTCAAAGAAAAAAAAGGGCAAAAATCCACCCACAAATTCAGCTACCTGAGCAAGACTATAGCCAAGAAAGTCAACACTCAAGCTGGGCTTCACCAATTTCCAATTTTTCAACAGAGTCATTCTGAGCAAGGCTAGTGACCACACACAAATCCCTGGTGTCAGTTTCATATCCCCCCGTCTTTGGCACACTGTCCCAAAGAAAGTAGACAATTCACTCTGAGCACACTCAACGCCTGCAACACCGAAGTGAAGTTCCCTTTATTTACTAGGATTTAACAAAGGATTTCAAAGAAGCTCTGTAAAACAAATCCTGCTAGCACAAACTGCTATTTAAATATTTAACTTTCTGGGGCACCTGGGTGGCTCAGTAGGTTGAGCGTCTGACTCCTGACCTCAGCTCAGTTCATGATCTCACGGTTTGTGGGATTAAGCCCTGCTTCAGGCTCTGCACTGACAGCATATAGCCTGCTTAGGAGTTTCTCTTTCCCTGCCCTTTCCCCACTTGCTCTCACACTCTCTCTCAAAGAAAATAAATTTTTAAAAATAGTTTAAGATATAAACAAATATTTAACTTTCTGGGATACCTGGGTGGCTCATTCAATTGAGCATTTGACTCATGATTTCAGCTCAGGTCATGATCCCTGGGTCACTGGATCGGGTCTGCACTGAGTATGGAGCCTGCTTAAGATTGTCTCTCTCTCCCCCTCTGCCCCTCTCCCCTGCCTACATTCTCTCTCTCTCAAAAAAAAATAAAAATAAAAATAAAACAAAAGTAAAAATTAATATTTAACTTTCTGGGGCACCTGGGTGGCTCAGTCACATTCTGGTTGAACGTCCATCTCTTGGTTTCAGTTCAGGTCATGATCCCAGGGTCATGAGACCAAGCCCCACACTGGGCTCCATGATGAGCCTGGAGCCTGCTTAAGATTATCTCTCTCAGAACACCTGGGTGGCTCAGTCGGTTAAGCGTCCAACTCTGGATTTCAACTCAGGTAATGATCTTGTGGTTAATGAGACTGAGCCCCACGTGGGCTATCCGTGCAGAGACTGCTTGGGATTCTCTCTCCTCTCTGCCCCTCCCCCTGCTTGCTCGCGCATGCATTCTGTCTGTCTCAAAATAAATAAATACACATTAAAATAAAGGTTCTCTCTCTCTGCCTCTTCCCTGCTTGCTCATGCATGCTCTCTAAAAAAAATTTATATTTAACTTTCCAATTATACTTATTAAATACTGCAGTAATAAGTATTTTTTATATCCTTCACTTTAATGCAAACTTCTTTACAACACTTTTATTCTAAGAAGCCCTCTTGTTAGTCAATTTTTTGAGTGTTCCTTCTCTTTTTTTCCAAACAGACTAGGTGGCAAGCCCAGATAAGCCCTTCATATAGTTCTAATCCTAAGCCTCGTTTGAATTGGAACCCTTGTGTATTGCTGGTAGGAATGTAAAATGGTACAGCCACAGTGGAAAAGTTTCTAACCCTCTAAAGTAAGCTTCCTTATTGTCCCTATCTTGAGGCTGTTACAACCAAGACTCAAATAAACCAAATAAACTAGCACAAGGCCTCTCTGTCCAGATTTGTAACAGACTTATCTTGACTCAAAGTCGCTATTTTCCACTACACCATACTTCCCCCTGTGACCCTAGCTACTTAGGAAATTGTTAGCCCCTAACTATTAGAAATGCAATGACAGCAACAGGGGCTGAAGGCAAACATCCTGAAAAGTAGAAGCCATCAATATTTTCTTCAAATTACAACTTTTTAACTGCCAGGCTCTTTGGGAAAAGAACTACAAGGTTATACAGAAACGCACATAATAGAACTCTGAAAAATAAAATCCTTTAGAGGGGCATATCCAGGTGGTGACATTAGATCTTTAAAGCTACATTTGTGCTGCTCATTTTAAGTGCTTCAGGGAGCATTGGAGGAGAGGGCAACAATGATGTGTTCTTCTGTCCGAACCTCCCAAATGCTAACTTCTCCCACTCAGTTCTCCCAGAGCTGACTGAACTTTCATAACAAACATTCCTACACACCTGAAACTAATGTAACATTGTGTGTCAACTACACTGAAATAAAAAAAAAATTAATAATAAAAAAATATTCCCACAGGTTGGAGATTGTATTCAAGTGAATACTTTTATACCTTGATTCCTCCCTTCCAGAGCAAAATCACTTCTGTCCCAGGAGCTTTGGAAACATTTTATAATGCTGTATTCAGCCACACCATGTTCTAACTGGAGGATAAGGTCGCTGCCTCCCACTACTGTCCCCAAGCCCAGGATTTCCTTCTCCAAACAGGTCCCAAGGGGTGGTAACAGAGGCCGCCTGAGAAGCTGGTGCCATGATCCTTCCCTCTCAAAGGGAGCTACTTTAAAAAAAAAAAAAAAAAAAAAAAAAAAAAAAAAAGACAGAAGGAGGAGGTCTCTGTTTCCCATTGATTCCCTCCAGCTTTCCACAATGGTCAGACTGCCAGGTAAACAGGAAGCCGAGGAGAGAGGAGAATGTTCCCATCCCATGTGATCAGCTCAGCCTCAGTCAGAAAAGTTGGGCCTCCACTCTCACCCAACTTTTAACGAAAAGTAGAATCCATCATTCATGCATATGTTCTTCCATGTAGTCACCCTACAAATGTTTAATGAGCACATACTATGTGCTAGGCACCATCATAGGTAAAATACCTGCCCTCATAGAACAGACAATCAGTAGGAAGAAACAATGAACAAAATGATCAACGATATTGTATATTAGAAAGTGAGAAAGGGCTATGGAGAAAATAAAACTGAAGATATATATAGGGAATGTGTGTATTAGTCAGAAGAGTGATTATATTCCTCAATGAAATGAAACCTTATATTTCTGAGGGTAGGCAATTTTTAAACATGTCAGACTAAATGCCAATGGAGACCTCATATGTTTAAGCTCCTATGAATAACAAATTCAGCATCAGAATTAAAAAAAAAAAAGACTTCGTTACCACTCCCTTGCATTTTATTTCCAACCCCTCTTAACCACCTCTACTTGCTTCTCTCCAAAGAAAAGCCTACAACCAGTCAGAATACCCATCATGCTAGCTCTCATTATCTTCATAAACTCTAAATTGCTCAAAATCTGCCAAATCAGAATTCTACATATTCTGAAAACCACCACCAACATTAAGCTGCCCTCTGTGTCACACAGTCTTGATTTTATAACATTCATAAGTGGTTGAGTTAGGACCAGCTCATTGGTGGATGTGGTAACTCCGGGTTGCTCAATCAGCACAGCTACGTTAGTTGCTACCCAGCTAAATGTCTGAAGGTAAAGCAGCGTAGGAAATGTCAGGCTTTCACAATCAACAGGAGGTTCAGAGTCCCTGAGAAATAAAGTGTCATCTGTCTTTTCATGGGGTATTTTTTTTTTTTTTT